GGGAAATCTGTACTTCCAGAGATATTTGGCTCGAAAGTTTCGAAAATATCCCCACTTTTTTATTATATATATTTAGGAACACTTCCGACCCGTTTGAAATTTGTACTGCAGCCCTTTTGATACTGATTACAACCACATACGTTTTTTGCAGAGAACTTCATACTGTTACTGTAGACACTCTTGAGGGCTCATTAATAGTTTCTCTAGACTCAACACTCCTTTTTCTCCCCTAATCAGGGATGGTCCGTGTGACGAATTTTTAGGTTTTCAATTGTCAAAAAGGTGTAAACGTCGAAAAAGTCATATACCTGTATAAAATGTAATTAATGTAGTTAACGTCATTTATTTGAATGTTATTACAATATACTGTTATTTTCAACAATATATATTATTTTTACATATATCTGACTATTCCTAGAACTGATAAAAACTTTTAAACTTTTTGGAGAACAAAATTTTCAAATTTGATATGGATTTGAGTAAAGCTATTTTGTCAAAAACCTAATGGTTTTTTGTGTGTTTCCGACTTTTCTGACGTATGTATTATGCCTCGGAAATGTATGTCATTTACGTCACTATTTCTTACGGACCATCTCTGCCCCTAATGAATAATAGCAATATCTTACAGTAGAATATTAAAAGATTAATAAAAATTTCATCGATAATCAACTACTATTAAAAGACCACAACCACCATTCTATATATTCTAATATAATAGAAAATATAGAATAGAATAATTATTAAAAGACCATAACCCCATTAGATGTCAACAGCTCCTCAGCGGCATATTTTCCGAATCATGTTTACATGGAGTAACAAATTATTACATAAGATTAATGGTAATGGCGGTAATGGTAATACTAAATATCAAAATACGTATACTCCCTTAAATATTTATGTTTAACTCCCCTATCCCCCCTATATACATCAATATAATTGGGATAAATTTCAAGGTCAGCAACTTATCATGGATATACATTCAACATCTCGGGTTTATATATACGCAATAGAATAAAAATTTTGTAATTTTTTATCTGTCATCAAAACAGTCATGCTTATTCTTGGGCCAGATTCCCTTCATCGAGTAAAAATTCGTGTTGTTGGGGTCATAATTGTAGCCTCTACAACGATCAGAAAAAAGTCAAATATATTAATCGATTATTACCAAAAACAATATGGCCACAAAAACACTTTCTTAAAGTTAACGCAAAAATAGAGTAAAGAAATGTTTCATTCTCATTTGTTCTGTTTTTAATAATTTCATTTCAGACTTTAACGTCCGCATTTCGCCAGCACGATACTGACATGGACGGTGTCATAACGATCCACTACGAACAATTTTTAAGCATGGTCTTTTCTTTAAAAATTTAAAAAAATCAATCTTCCTTAAATTATTATTGATACACCATAGGTGCCAAATTATGTCCCTTCGGGTATAAGGACTTACGGCCGTTAGCTCGTTATGGAAAAAATACATTAAAAAAGGAAATAAAACATCGTAAGAAACAAATATACATGCAATAAGTATTATTCTTAATTCTATTTGTACATTATAAAATCTCTATATGTTCTTTTTTCTATGCATACTTTTCATCAACGAATGTCTCAGAAATTGTGATGAAAAACGTCGAATTAAGAAGATTTTTTATATATTACTGATTACAAATATATTTTGATGAAAATAAATGACTAAAATTTTATTTGCTATAAAATATAAGTAAATTGCATTTAAAAATAGACACACATTGGATAAAGTATTAAAGGTAGGTAACATTAATTTTTTTATATATTATCATAAACTGAAAGATACTACTATTTCTAATTTATTAATGCAGTGTAATGTCGGTGTCGACATTTGTATTGTGAATGCGCGCGCGATGGCATCCTTGACAAAAAGAGAAGGTTGAAAATAGGGGTTCATATTCCATGTATTTTTGTGAACAAAGTACAGGTGGCATTTATGATCCGATTTGGATAAAATTTAGTACATGTCACTTATTTGGTCCAAGGACGAACCCTATTGAAATTGGATCTATATCAAATTTATATATAGTTTCGTCCAATTTAAGGTAAATAGTGCACCAAACCTTCAATATTGGTCCGATTAAGATAGAATTTCAGTTACAAAATTTCAGAGAATATAAATTAAGGACGTAATATCTAAAAACGTAAAGAACTTTAAAACATGCTAAGTCGACTTAGCATACTATGGTTCGGAGGGGTCGACATATATACTTTAGTCCCATTTTATGCACATAGTGCAAATGGAGGAGCCTATGTCTGTTCGTTTTACATGAAATATTGCATAGCGCATTGGATTGAAGACGTTTCAATTTTAGATATATCATCCATATATATTTTCATCCGATTTCATCAAAATGATGTACCAAACAACTAAAGTTTTTCCGCTTAGGACGAATTAGTGCACAAAGTACCAAATCGAGGCAAGAATAATGTGTATTATATTTTGTGTCAGATTGTATCTGTATGGGTTGTTTTAATTTAGTTCAAATATCTACAACTTCACGCAGTTAATTTCGTTAGATTCCATTTCAATGGTCCTCCAAAGATGATATCGTTCATTTGCTGCAAGACAGGCATAACTCAAAAAAGCGATTTCGCAGAAAATGCATTTTAAGTTTTCAATTTACTCACACTTTATATGGGACAGAGGAACTTCTACAGATTCTCAATTTGAGTGTGTAAGAGACATTTATATGAATTTTTTACACAACATGAGGTCTATTATAGCGAACAATCGTACATCATTAACTCGATATGTTAAATGACGTGACCTGCCGCAATTTAGAAATAATATATATTTTTTTATTTATTTTTCACAACAATATTTAATATTTTAATTTTTAGTCAGCTCCCTTTACATTTACTAGCGAAAAGTTTCTCACGAATTGTCACCACATTTCCCCCCCTCCCTTCCATTCAGAATAAACAATTTTTCTCACATAGTGAATTTTCTCACTTTTGAAAATTTTTAAAATACGACGAAAGAGAGAATACAAAAAATCACAAGCAGCCTTATTTTGGATGTCAATTCCACGTGAATTTACTCGCTCTTCCCCTTCGACTTATTCTGAACAACATTTTCCTGTGAATTTTTTTCGCATTCTCGCTTTCGCCTTATTCTGAATGAAGTTCGAAAGCGAAAAAATCCGCTTTGGGAAAAAATTAGGTATTCTGTATTACGGGGAGTAGGAATATGATATGAAATTTTGTGCGAAATTTTTCGCTAATAAATTCAAAGGGAGCTGACTACAACAACATAGAGTATCTTCGTGTAATGTGGACCACCATTTTCTTCTTTTGATATTGTGGGCGTAACAACGGTAAAAAATAAAAACAAATTGTTTTCACGACATAGTAGATTTGTTGGCTAAATATATTCCAGGTCAAACAATATTTATATTTGTCTATAAAAATGTTATTGCATTATATTTCAAAAAACTCTAAACTGCGAATAAAAATAACTTGGCTGGTAATGTGGACCAGTATGTGTGGGTAATGAGGATCAGTAAGTTAAAGGTAGGTTGTGGTTTGGTTGTGATAAATTTCAATTTATTGCACTCTTGAGTAACAATGAATGCAAAAATATACGGGTTTATGTTTTGGAATAGTCCCCATTAAAGGGTACCGCCCCATTTGCGGTATTTTGAAGGTCCTTGCCTCATTATTAACCGAAGCACCTGTAATTTCGCATATCGAGTTTTCAGAGGATAGAATACCTACTCGTCCTCATAAAAAGGTCCCAATTTTTAAAGTGGTCCACATTACCCGACATTGAATATTTTTATTTAAAAATAATTATCGGCTTCAAAAATGACTAAAAATTTAAAAATCACCGATTGTAATTACAGATAAACGTATATTTTTGTTAAAGAAAACTAGAAAGCCACATAACTTCTTTATATTCGAGAAAAACAAAGTGTTAGACTATTTTGCAAAAACGTTCAACTATTGTGCTAAAAAAATTTCAAATCACACTTTTACAATCAGATCTACATTTTCTCTAATTAGGAAAACATTTATCAAGGCGGCATTGACATATTTCAAGTATTTTCTTAGATATGGGGGGTGGTCCACATTAGACGCCTGGTCCACATTACCCGAAATTACTCTAAGTAATAAATATTTTTATGAAAAATATTTACACAATACTTATTCTATGACACAATACTTATTCAAGTTCGAAGATGGGATATATTGGTCCACGTTTAGGCATAGCTCCCATATAAGGGTCCCCCCATTTTCGGTATTTTGGGGTTTCTTGAGCGCGTTTTTCAAACGAATTTTTTGAAATTTGGAACATTGGGTTCTTATAGGTCAACTTTTTCTGGTAGCACCTATATAACGGTACCTCGATGAGGCACATTTTCACCGTGTCAAAGTGTATACACCCTCATTAGCCATAAGGCTGAGTGTATAATTATCCTTCAAAAATTGTTGAAATTTGTATTACGGTTGCCATATTTTTAAACTTTAATTTATATTCTTTTAATTACAAAGTCTTTATACAGCGGATTATTTATATTTCGCATTTGTATTGTTATAAAGTTTAAATAACAATAAAAAGCAAACATTTTAATAAAAAAATCAATAAATAAAATATTGAAAAATATTACACAATTAAATTACAATGGGGCAACACAAATTGCAACTTAAATTACAATATGGCAACACAAATCTTTTTTTCAACCATCATTTTCGAAAACTTGTCCCCAACTGCAGAATATATCCTTCTTTTTACAACCTATTTCCGTGTTTCTGTTATAAAATCGATTTAAAATGGATAGTTTTACAATACTTTTTTGTACATCCATAACAGAGTAATTTCTTACAGACGACCATATTGGTATTTGAATATAATAAAATACATACACTTTAAATTTTTACTAATTTTATTCCAACTTATTTGGACACATAACACTTATATCGCAATTAAAATGATTATTTTAAAATCGTTCTAATGTAAATTTTCTATTAGGTTAGACAGTGGTTTCCTTTACAATAGTTATAGGATGCACTTTATTGAAAAATTCTATATTTTCCTCCTCTGCATGCGACACTTCACCAGCCTCGTTATCACCATCCATATTTGTTATAGAACGTAGATTAACATACCGGGATTTACAAGATATTTCTGAGATCTTGTCAACGTCTACATGACTCTGTTCGACCCAAATTACGTCATCATTTACAGATTCGTTCATAATCTTTTGAAGTTTTTCCACTTGAATTTGAACCGGCTGATTAGATGAACCTAAAATATATTTATATATACAGAAATAGACAAACAAGATTTGTATTTTGTACTAAAAATTTTTATTCAAGGAAATAATAGTCTTTTGAGTAAAACAAAAATGTAAATTAGGATAACAAAACCGAAAAGTAGCAATCTCTTATGTTTTGCTTGAATGTATACAAATATATTTAAAACAATATTAGCACAAGTATGCTACTTTATATCAACCAAAAACGTTCGATAACTATAAATAAAAATATTTGCTAAGTATGTCCCACTTACAGAATTTATATTAGTAATAGTTTTATTTGATATTTTTTTCCAACAAAAATAACAAGGTCAAAGGTGCTATTATTTTTTTTTACAGCTGCATATAATTTAAAAGGCAGATTATACACATTAGGACTACAAAGAGATTACTTATTTAACAAAGTTATTGGAGATTTCAATACTTAAAATAAAAATGTGAATAATAAAAACAAACAAAAATATTTGAAATTAACGATTAGGCGTAGAAACAGAGTAAAATGCGAATGACCAGCATGTTAAAATTTCTTAAAATTAAAAACACATATATAAAATAAAGTATATATAAAAGAGAATTGCCAGTAATACAAAATAACTAGCCTTGTAAATTAAAATAAAAAATAATATTGTTGAAAATAATATTTATTAACAGAAAATAAAAATAAAGCTGTAAGGTCATTATATGTGAATGTTCGTTTTAGTGAATATTGCAACATTTATGCAAGCAACTATTTGGATATTGTTCGATGTCATTATTGCTCGTTCTACAATTTTCACCAACTTCATCAACATCACCAGCAGTGCCACTATCGCAGTACTTTTTATCCTTAGATGAGGACGATATTTGCAAATCTTCCAGACGTGTTTTAAGTTGTTCGGGGCAAACGGTTCTTCGACACGAATCGTTTTTCTCAATTTTAGAGTTGTTAACGGTCACATCAAGTAAACTTTGTTCTGATGATGATAACTCTATGCTTTCGATGCCTAGAACGTCACCATTGTTTGTAGTTGATGTGGAGCTGTTCAATTCAGGGCATGGTGAATGGGATTCAATGCTTTCTGGAGTGTATGGATCCAGACATTTCTGAGTATAATCAAAATAAGTACTTAAATGTTGTGAGTCGATACGATTGACGATAATGTTATTGGATAACATTAAATGTTTTGAAATTAATCGATACCTGGGATCGTTTGACTGTTTTTTAATGATATTTTTACATTGTGGGCATATTTCGTCGACATCATTTAATTTAGGTTCAGTTACATCTGTTGAATTCGACAGTTGATAACATGTGCACACCGATATATTGTCTGTGCCGATAATGTTAATGCTAATTGGAGATTTCAAAAACATATCACCGTTACTTGTACATTTTCCTCCTTGAGATTTCAGGTTATCGTAGCTACATACGTTCCTAATAGTATGGGATGATGTCCCTGATTGTTGTTCAGGTTTATTTTCATCAAGTTTTCTATCCTCGGAAAGGTTTCCTACAGGTGTAATATTGGTATAAAATGTTTCTCGTTCACAACATGCGATTTCTTTGTTATGCTTCCCGAAGGCAGCACAATCGATAGTGGCACCTGGGATGTGATGCATTAAGTTGGCATTTGGCTTAAAATAATGAGAATTACAACATCTATATATACCTTGCTTCGGTTTGATGCAAATATGTAAAAATACAGGCTGCAATGAAAAAATAAAGATATTATATTAATAACAATAATTAAATACGATTTTATTTTCGGCAAGCTAAATTTTTCTTAGCAGTTACAAATAAACAATAACATGTCTACAGATTTGTTTGTTGACCTCGTTTAAACGAAGCCAATGTGACTTATTCGAATTCCCTTTTAATTAAAAATTCCAAATAGTAGGAGTGGACCGATTTTTCTCATATTTGAACTTAATCTAAGTTTGGGAGGAATATTACGATGAGCAAAGTTTTGAGTAAATCACTTGGGGAGACTCTGAGATCGATTAAATATATTGTCCGAATTGTCCAACTTGGACAAGGTGGTCATCAACACCAAATTTTAGGATTATTACAGCAATCTATGTCGCGTTGCTTTAAAGAAGTTTGCGATACTTTGTCCCAAGGACATACAATTTGAAGCAACTGCGGCAATTGAAATAAAAAGAGGCTTTTTCCATACATGTGGAATTCCTGAGGTGATTGGGGCAATTGATGGTACTAATGATTCGACACACCAGGAACGAACATAAAAAAATCTACTAAAGTTTGGAACTGAGTCTGTAACTTTTTTGGCTTTTCCTTAAAATAGTTAACAATTTAGATATAAATAAAACCTTTAATTTTGCTTACTGACATGTTTCGCTTCCTTTTCGTTTGTTATTTTGTTAACGCAAGACATTTGCGCCTAACCAACGAGTTTGTTATACGTTTTCGTATTACAGAGTGCAGTGATGTCACATTTGCGTAAAGCAATGTATTCAACACGTATCGAGAGCGCATTGCCCTCACGACACACACCATCTACTCAATTGTCCGTCCAAGCCTCATATCATTTCTACTGTCTATAGACTTATGGCTAAAGCCAATAGAGATGTCATAGTTTCTCAGGCTACCCTCTTCAAATCGGAATTCCTAATTAATAATTAATACATTTTCCTTGTTCCGTTTTCTATCAATATTTTCAGGAAAGAACTTTAACCAACAGTCAATCTTTTACAACAACATTTGTTTCTTCCTTAAATTTGAAATTAAAATATTTACAGACTGAGAACCAGACAATTTCAAAATTTTGAATTTAATTTATTTTTCCTGGATGTATGTGAGCTTCCCCATACACATAGCAGTCAGCAGAATGCTGTTCTCGCTCTTCTTAGCCCATTGATTACATCCAACTTGTTATCTCTAAGTATGTGTTCTACTTGATTTTGAATTCTTTTCTGCATTATGGTTGTATAAGATGTCGAGCAGCGTTATTTCTATCTAGTTGTTACAATCTTCCAAGCCATTTTAGGGAAACTTCACAACAATGCCATTCTTTCTTTCAAGTTGGAGGCAATCTCTCTTTCTACTAAGCTGAAAAGATATGAGGTCGAAGTAACTCAGCTGCGGTTCTGCGCAACTGGGTTACCGGCTTCCGCTTGTAAACCATCATTTCCTGCTGCTTTCTTATTTTTAACGCATTTTTTAATTCATTCTACTTTGCAAAAAAAAAAGTATAAAATACGCACTGTCAATGTAGTAAATGTTCCACTTTATATTTTATACGCATTGAAAGTTTTGAGGTCAATAAAATCGCATAAGCACGAATTTAGATACGAGCCTTTTAAACAAATCGAAAATTATATCGATTTCTTTGTCAAAGCTAACGATGGTTTATTTTTTCGAATTCAAAATATTTTGACAAAAATTTATTTACCAGCTGGCCTTACTTGGTATCAAGACTTTATATACCTTGGTACCGCCACAAATAAAACGAATATCAGTTTTGAAATTCGGAGAAGGATTGTGATGGCCAACAGATGCTACTATGGTCTAAGTAGAAAAAGTAGAAAACAACATCTTGGAGCGTGGTCTTCCAAATTGGTGGAATTGCGCACAAGACCGACGCGCTTGGAAATCTTTTTTAAGCTCGGCTTATGGAACAACCGTTCTGTAACAAGCCAGCTAAGTAAGTAAAGCTGGCCTTACTGGGTCGCTTAATACATACACCTTACATATTACGAAGAAAACCTTGTTACTATTTTGTTAAAATAATGGTTTGAAATAATGCTATTTTGTCTCAAAAACCTGTCGATGTTACATGTTACATGAACACATAGTGACTACCATTCGTTCGAATAGGCTTTCGATCGTCTTATACCATGTACAGACGAGCGTTGTTCGCTATCTCATTCGTTGTTCGACCCTTAATTATGAAGTAATTACTTAGTTCCCCATATAAAATTTTCTGAGCGAACACCGATTTTTGTACGTAGTTCCAAGGTGTATTTAATAAGGTGTATGCATCAGATACAACAACAAATATTTTACAAAAACAACATTGTTGTTATAGAAATTAAATTGTCATGCTGACAATAAGTTTTTGACAAAAATAAACAAAAATAATTATAAATTTATTTTTGTCAAGAACTATTCTTTGAGAAATAATGAATTTGTGTATTCTTGGGTTATTAGCGGTTTTAGGTTAGTGAAAAATAATGTTTAAGACCTGGTAGCGATTAATGTTAAGTTTCCCACATGCAGCCCATGGCTCCTTGTGATGTTGCTTATATTGTGAATTACAATCTATTTTTTCTATGGAGTGCCTTCAAATCTTGCCTTCTTAAAGAAAATTGAAGAATATAAATCCCCGGTCAAAGACTAAATCATGGAAATTGTGTTGACCGTATAAAATCTTTCCATAGGCGTATTTAACCTCCGCCGAGGATTGTGACAAGCACCAAGGGGCCGATTCCAATATAGGCTAACATAATCTCCTCGATTTTATGAGTAGCTGGGATTTATGGACAGATTTCCACACATAACATAAAATATGTGGACCAATCGGCGAACGGGGTTATAATTGATTTAATCCTAGGTTTCCTTTCCGCCAGCCTCTATGAATGTAGTTTTCTTGAATCTTTATTATTAAAAAAGCCTAAATTTAAAGACCTTTTTTGATATCGAAATGTTATTGAAAATGTTTTTGGCAATTTACTTTACAAACAAAAAAGAAAAAAGTTTGAAACCATATGATTGTCACTTACACCTTATTAATGACATGTACAGACGAGCGTTGTTCGCTCTCACATTCGTTGTTCGACCCTTAATTATGAAGTAATTACTTAGTTCCCCACAAGGTGTATTTAATAAGGTGTAAGTGACAATCATATGGTTTGAAACTTTTTTCTTTATTGTTTGTAAATAAATTGTCAAAAATATTTGTCAACGTTTCACTTCAATTTAAAATATTGTTTTTTTGTTTGCAATAATAATGAATTTATAGGGACGGAATATTTGTTAATGCCCCAAGTGACGACAAGGAAGCGTGAGTTTAAATCAGTTCTAAATCCGGCCGCTGATTTGTTCCACATATTTGCCGCAAGTACAACTTGGGTTCCAGATTGCAAATATACATATGTAAATGTGTGTTCTTATGATCGATTTAATACCAAAAGGAGATTGTTAAGGAAAAGGAAATCTGCCCTAAATCCCCTGTTTCCCTCAAAATCAAGGAAATTGTGTTATATAGCTTGTATTAGAATTTGTCCATTAGTTTTCTACAAAAGCCTGGCTTCTGTTGCGTAGTCTATTGGCAGATTGCATACGGGTTTGTGGTGTTTGACCGGGGATTTATGTCCTACAAAATGAAAATGTACGGTAGTACAAAATGAAAAAATACGCTGTTGCAAACATAAATTTACTGTGAAAAAAATTCATTTCGGTCTAATTAGCGTACAAAACAAGAAACAAATGTGGGATAAACAAAAAAATACTCATGTTTTTTGATATGTGACATATGAGTTGAGAAAATATAAAAATATATTAAAAACAACAACATTTTTAGAAAAAAAAAGAAAACATGAAAAGTATATATCTATAGGTTCTTACTACATTCAGGAGAAAGAGAATAATTTTTTTTATTTAAGGGATTCACGATTTTAATTTTTTAAGATTTTCAATGGGCTGGTAAATCAATACCAATGCTTGTGTTGGTATTGATTTACCAGCCCAATGCTTGTGTTGTAACTTTGCACATATATATTTGAAGATTTAAAAGAGAAGAAAAATAATTTACAAACTATTTTTGTTATTGTTTTTTGTATTTAAAGAAAAGTCCATATTTTTGATGGCGGCCATGATAACTCCCCACTGGAACATCGGAATCCGAAATTTCCAACGGTGTTAGAAATAGCACATGCCTGTCTCTCGTATGAACTAGAATTATTGACTTCGCTCTAAAATTAACAAAATGGCGGACCTTTGAAAAAATATTTTTGGAAAATCTCAGATTTTTTACCAAAAACCAAGTTAAAAAGTAAGGAAGATCTTCACCGATTGGCTTTATCCTACTTCATACGATAGCTATACACTCACAGAGAAACGTGTAAAAATTTGGAATCGATTGGGTCATTATTTTTTGAGTTATAGTGCCCGCCATTCACAAAGAGAAAAACCCGTTTAAAGTTTGAGAAGCCCTTTAGCCGTCACTTGATGCTGACATAATAAATCGGCTATATCTTCAAGAGTTCTTGAAATTTTGTAGGGACATTCTTGAATTAGAGTAGACTCAAGTTAAATAAAAAAAAATTGACCCCGAGTATGGGGGGGGGGGTCCCCTTAAATTAATAGGTAATATACACAAGTAAGTAGAGATTTCGGTATAAAAAAAGAAACAACAATTTTGAAAAAGAAAATTCTGAGAAAATGTAGTAATTCATGTAGGTAATTTTGAGAGCGAACTACGTTGTTCGAGTGATCGTCAGAACATGGTATTAGAGGAACAGGCTGTATGTTTTGACTATACTTCGAATTTTTTACTAATTTAAATGCCTATAAATTCCATTAAGGAAATATACCTTGTGATCGCCCATACAGACATTTTCTCCAACTATATTGTACGTATTTGGAGATAGATCTTCATCTATAATTAGACGCGCTTCTGGGTTCATCAGTATTCGGTCGCACCATGATGGGCAGCGTGTAAACATGAAATTTGTTGGCAATTCTGGATCCTCCATGTACGGATATGAAGGAGGGAAATCAATCTCAAATTCATGTAGAAAATCTTGCAAAGGTTCCAATTCACGATCAAATTTTTTTAACTAAAATAAATGGTGGTTATGCAAACATGATTAGACAATTTGTATTATACACAGTCTTACCCACGGTTCCTTAAACTTTAATTGGTGATCAGCATGACTGAATTCCTTTTTACCAATGGTCAATATGTTGTCTCCGTCAGAATTCCTATAATAAATTTTGGTGTTGTCATTTTTGGTACTCTGGACACGGTGGGCGGTGAGATTTTCAGTTAATTCCTGCGTCAAAATGTAATAAATGGAAACCAATTGTTTAATATATAGAATTAAATTTGCTATTGTTTTAACATTTAATGAAAATAATAAACAATTTCTTTTAAAATACGCCGTTAAGTTCGAATATTTTGCGCGTTCAAAATATTTGAAGGCAGTCTGTCAGGGGCTTTATAATACTCTAAGAAATCGAAATGTCAAAAATTGGAATATTCGACTAAGACCTTCATCATATCAAAAATGGGGTTCATATTTTTTTGGCGAAGTTACGTTTTTTACTCACTAAGATCCCCGAATTCCTATTTACAGCCACTTATTTTGAAAAATTATTCTAGGGTCATTAAAATATCTAAAATGGAATCTGGAACTATGCAGAAATACCATCAGCTGACAAATTACTTCTGACTTCCTTCTGTTCTGTATCCTTAGAGATCTAGAAAAACGAAATTCATTTATGAAAAACAACTTATCTTGCTTTCTATAACCTTTATTAAAAAGCAGCATGGACCGAAGTCTAATGAAATCAGCCAAAGTACAGCCGAGGAAGTATATGACAAATGGGGTAACATGTTGCCAACGCTTTAATGAGTATATATACCTCATCACTCTATTAAAAGCGATCTGCAGCTTCCTGATAACATAACCAAATGTCCCTGAAAAAACTTCAGTGCAGTATAAGATTAATGGCATATTTAACATTTTCACAATGTATTTCCTCATTTCAACAACAAGACAAAGCTCAGAACTATAAAGCTTCCTCAACATGTAATTTATCTTAGAAACCAACAAGTTAACATGAGACTCAAACAACAATTCCCTGTCCAGTACAACACCAAGACATCTAATGCTCTCCACAAATTCAATTTCAATGTTACCGAACTTGACTATCACTTCAACCCCATCACGGGGACCAAACTTTAATACTTTCGTTCTATTTGGATTTACCGTTAATTTATTGAGGGACATCCAATTGTTCATTGTAGAGATAGCAAACGATATAGCACTTTGCATAACATCAGGGAATGCACCATTGGGGAACAACACTGAAATCAACTTCAATAGAAACAAAAATAAAGGAATGGTGCGATATTCCTGGACATTGAAACTGATTAGATTGCTGTACTAAATTCGGCGACGACAATAAAAAATAATCCAATAAAGAAGTTGACTTATGAAAGACATCATAATGAGTGGGGATAGAATTATGTACAACAGTAAGGTTCATACTGGAGCATACAGACCTAACATTATACGAATTACGAATGTCGAACAGATTGTTATTGAAATCCCCCATTAAAATAACATTATCATATCTAAGAACAAGATCGGAAAATTCCCTCTCAAATGCATTAATATCACTATGAGGAAGATAGATTGTCCCTACTAAATATTTGAACCCTCGTATCTGTATTTCTAAAAATATACTTTCAACTGATACATCATTTGTACTATCGGACACAACTTTATGCTTTAAATGCTTGGAAATATACAAAGCAACGCCACCACCTCTACCATTAGGACGATCATTCCTATAACAATAATAACCGTGCATATCAGCCACATTATAACTCATATGAGGCTTAAGCCATGTCTCACTGACACCAACAATATCCAAAAAGTTGCCTTCTAAAATATTTCTAATTTCATTAATTTTAACAGAAGAATTGCCAACAACGAGTGTAAATAGAATTGAACTTGACTAAAATCGACTTTCTATTAAGAAAATAGCAACAATGCTATATCAACAATTTATTGGGTTTTTATAAAAAAAATGTTTACAGTTTATTGTTATTTAAACTTTATAACAACATAAATGTGAAATATCAAGAATCCGCTGTAAAACTGTTTTGTAATTAAAAAAATTAAAGTTTGAAAATGTGGCAACATACAACAGCATGTGAAACAGCTGCTTATTGTTATTATGCAATTTGGTGCAACAACTTACAACAGATTGCAATTTTATGATGGCAAAAATCAGTTAATTTCGATATTTTATCTCTCAAGCACACGATAAACTTGAAAGAAAAAATATACATTAAAACTTTTTCTTATCGATATTTGGTGTTTGTTTTATTTTGAATATACAAGACAATCGTTTATAAATGGTCTGTGCCCGTACTGCAAGAATCTAATAGATTTTACTATTTTCTTCGATATTATAAGGAATATTCGTTCGTAGTTAAAAGTAGTAGATTCTTGCAGTACGGGAACAGACAAAAAATATCAAATATTTATCGATATATCTCATTTTGTTTATAAGTTGTGTGACTTTGGGTTATTCAAATTTCTACATTTTTTGTTTTGGGTATATTTAATTTTTGCATTTCGTAACCTTTTTACATAATTAAATGGAAAAAGCTCACTCATTCCTACTATTTGAAAACGTTTTTGAGAAAAAGTCATGAGAGTCCAAAAGAAAACGAGTGGTTGGTTTGACAATTGCTTAAGAACTATGGTCAATTTTATTGAAGCAGAATAGATACATACTACTATTTGGTGCATCACATAAACTTCAATTGGTGATCATGTAATTGCCTAAATGGATATTCGGTTATATAATATATTACAACACTCTCCCTGATTAAGAAATTGCCTTTTTAATGAAAATAAAATACTTCCAAATACTAAACTAGTAAAATTTACATTAAACCAAATTGACAACAAGTTAAATAGGTCAGCTACCATATTTCCTGCTTCCAAATACTCCTGACCGTTATGACCAGCTTCCATATTTTCTCGAATAAAGTTGATTCTTATATCAGCATGTTTGGTTCTTAAAAATAGGAACTATTTCACGCTATTTGAATTGCGCTCTTATTATCGCAGTGTAACTTAACTATATTGAACTTATTCAACTGCAGCTCCTTGTATAGTCTGTAGTTGGTCCCATGTCGTCTAGGTTGCCGGTCTAATCAACATCACAAAAACCAACTAAGTCACCTGACTTGGTGTTCAATAGATGTTTTTCTAGCGTGCCCTTTAAATAACGCATTACCCGCTTAATTGCTTTCCAGTAGGTCGATTCAGTAACTTATAACGATCCGACAATCGACAATTTTGTCTACACATAAAATCGTTTGCAGTAACGAAAATGTTATTCTGTGAAAATGTAGACAAATTGTCGATTTACTTTCAAAAAGATTTTAATTTTGAACATTTTGATAAAGTCTTGGCAACCCTGTCGTGAATGCTAAATAATATGGTATAATAATAAAAGGTAACAGCAAGTGTTGTTGTACAACAAACGATACAACAACCACATGGCGTTTCCACGACAGAGGGGTCTACGATCCGAAACGACCCGAGCCTTACTCGGCCAACGTCTGTCACCTCAGCCCAAGGTATATTTAATAAGGTAGCCGCATCGGCCCAGCTGTTGGACAAATAAATGTCAAATACTTTGGCAATACTTTTATTAACATTTTCTACAAGAATTTGTGTAAAAAAATCTTGTCAATCTGTTTGTTTTGGCAAAATATTTTTGACATATCAAAATACAATAACCGATGTTTGTTGTAGAAATTCGCCGATGCGGCTACCTTGTATATCTACCTTGCCTCAGCCCATTGTGTAAAAGCAATAGGGCTGCTACAACAACAACCACATGGGAATTTGTTGTTGTATGTTCTACTAGTGTCAACTCTTTTGACAGAAAAATGTAAACAAACAAACAAATTATCATCAAAATATTTTTATTTTGAAAATGAAATATTTTCGAATCCTCAAAATAAAAATTGAAAAAAATGAATGAAAATCTATCAAATTTATATTTCTATCGCTTCCACATCTCTCTTATAATTGAGCCATTGCCATATATATGTGTAACACATATGCATATGCTGGGAATAGCGAGTTGTTCCTTGAAGAAAGATTTGTTTCCTCAAACGATCCCAGCAGGCAGATTGAGTAAACTGAATACGGGAGGACATTTAATAAAGAACAATTTCGAATTGAATAAGTTCCCAATTTTCCTGTTGGGTGATTTTTAAAAACAATTTGTCAAATGCATATTGACACTAGTATTACGTTGGAATCAAATCAGATGGGATTTGCTGTTACCTTTTATAATTGTACCATGGCTAAATAATATTGTTTTGCTCCATGCTCGTTTAAAAAAAAATTTAATTTCTAACAATACAATCTGTGTTTGTGTGGTAACAGTGTTTAAAAGTGTTTTGAAATAATTTTTGTGAATTTTGCTCTAATTGGAATTGTGGGAAATGTATTGTAGTTGTCTGTAAATGCCTTGTTGACCACGAAGTCAGGCGCCAACGAAACGAACTTCTCATTGGGGTCGTATCGCTGGTAACGTAAGAACTTCGAATTGTCACAAGAGACATTTGGATTTGAAAGGTTTTTAGCAAAGAAGCTATTAATAGCTTCTGGGGAGAATATCCCAACAAAAAACTAAGGGAACTGATGAGGATCAGTGGCGAGATCCGAAACTATAGTCTTCCCTGCCTTACCCCTCGGCGGACAATGCCATACATTCCCCACTAATAAATAGTTGTTTTTTATAAAAACAACAAACTGGGATTAAGCCTGACTATTTTGCAAAAACAAAATATTTTTGCTAATATTAATTAAACTTTTTAATTCTAATTGGCATTTCGTTTCCATTCCAAATTTTTTCGTTTGTTACATATCCATATCAACATGGAGATTGCCACATCGTCGTCAAAGTCTTCGTCGTCGTCGGATTATGAGACACCCCACAGTTTCCTCTACTGCAGACGCAGAATTTAACACCACATGTTGCTGTACAACGGCCAGGAAATGCATCGTTTTTGCAGTTTAACTTCGATGGACTGCGAAATAAAATCAGCGAAATCGTAGACTTTATGAATCGGAATAACATTATGGTCGCCGCGATCCAGAAAACCAAGCTGACTGATACCTGTAGCTTGCACCGTTGCGATGGTTACAACGTGTTGCGAAAGGATCATCCTTAATATGCGAGCACAAGCTCTGCAACATTGGAGCCGCAACAAGTAAATTATGGGCAACGGTTAAGTCACTCTCGAATCCCGGAAGGAACGATGATAGAACGGCTGTCACGTTTAACGACGTAACGATGACTGATCCGAAGAAGTGCGCGAGTTTTTTTACCCGCAGGTTATAGAGCACCCCGAAAGTGACATGGCGAAAAAAAGTGTGCTTCGTCGTATTAGAGCCCTCCGAGCCGAGGAGGTACCACCACAAATTTCGAAGGATGAATTAACAGCATTCACACGGAAGCAGTGACCCAGGCAATGGACCAATACCATTTGAATGTAGTACTTGGAGTCAACACATCACCTATAGCAGCAGAATAGCGACAGCTGCCTAGACAAACGAGAGTGGTTTTAGCCCAATTAAGATCAGGATGGTGCAGCCGCCTCAATTCGCATTGGGCCCGAATTGACAGCCCTGCATGTGGACTTGGACCTCACGATACGCTGCATCTCTTTAACTGCCCTTCTAAACCCACTCATCTGTCTCTCTAGTAGACAGTTGCTACAACAACAACAACGGATAGTACACAAGCCATAAAAGCAATAACTTCCAAAATTACATCTAAAACTGTTATGGAATGTATAAAAGACATTAATAATTTCTCACGACACGATCTTGTACGAATCATATGGGTACGAAGGCGACACACAAAATTCTTGAGAATAACGATGGGCCGGAAACTATACAAAAATATGAAGGGTAGATCGAAATGAATATAAAACTAAGCAAATCTTTCACTGGCTTTCTAAAGTACAGTTGCGGTCAAAATAATAGAAATAGTTAGAAAACGGAGAAACATGTTGTGATCGGACGATTCCAAATATTTTTATATGTTGATACTGGATGCCGACAGTATTTGAGACGTCCACGTCTAAGATATAGGATTCAAAATGTAATGGATTCAAATTTCAACAGAACAAAAATCCAAAACAGAGCAGACGATTGACAAAACAGTCGTTTCAGTACAACAATATAGATATTACGGAAGTGCCCTCGCAGTCACCGGATCTAAATCCAATTGAAAATTGTAACTTCGAAAAGTGTAATTTAAGAAGAATACAATAAATCAATTTTAATACAATATTTTCAAAATACAAAAGTTTTTGATATTATTACAATATTGATAGCAAAGCAATTGGTAATGTTTTAACTATAATTTTGCCAGAAAACTTTAAGCGATTTCAAAAAAAGAAAATGGGTTTCTTCAGTGGGAATATTTGAATACATTACGCTGCTATTATTTTGACCGCAGCTGTATTTCCCATCGTTGGATATATTTTTTAATTAGAATGGAAAGGCTCTGAAAACTTAACTGTCACCAAAGCTGTATGGTCTGCAGAGCGTCAACAAGCTCATTAGAAATATTGACAAACAGGATTTTTAAAATAACAGATGTACTCATGTAGTACACTCGGCCTATCTGGGTTAATTAAGTTGCTCTTTTTGGGTGGTAAATGTCTAAAATTTTGTGTGAATACAGTAAAATCTCGATAATCCAGCATTGATATTCCAGACTGTGTTTCACAACTCATTGTGTATTCTATAATCTGGATTGTTTGTCTCTATTTGACCATATAATCCGGATTATGAAGATAAATTAATTTTTAAGTTTTTTTTTCGTATAAGAATTGTCGTATGGCACGAGCCAACATTTAGAATTATGAGCAGTGAATGTTTTGCTTATCAGTGCAGTGTTTTTTCCAGTAGGGAGGTCATGTAAAACGTAACCAATTTTAGTAAAAAATGTACCCTTTTTTATTTAAATCTCATATTTTTGCAATGGACCATTTTATTTGCTAATAAAAACATACAACTAGTTATATGATCTCTAAATTAATAAAAAAATTAACAAATTCTAAAATCTCTGTAATCCGGATTGGCGAGATTTAAGGTATATAATTTTTAAACGTATAAAGTTATACAATATATTATAACTTACCTTGATAACTCCTGACGCATCACATCTGAAATTAAAATCACCAAATATAAAAAATGGGACTAATCCATTTTCTTCATCCAGGTGAAACCTAATTAGAATAGTGCAAGTGACAAAATTTTTTATATTTTTTGTAATTGTTATAATCAATTAGAAGATACAACCAACCTTTCAATTGTATGCACTAATGCTCTTCTTCTTGTTCTACAATAAACTGATGGGAACTCCTCGGATGCAGCTAAATTTGAAGCATCATGAAAAAGGTGTATGTTGACTAGATCAAACACTGTATCATTAATATTCCAACGAGTACGCATGTATCCCTTCCTGGACCATTTACACTGCAAATAAAATGTTAATAAGTTGTTATAATTTTAATAGATCTACAAACCTCAGGAAAGAAATGTTGCGGAAATTTGGACTTCTCCTTACTAGATACAGTTTCTATGTTGCCTGAATAAATATCTCTTCCTTCAGCATTTTCCCAGGTACGAGTAAAAAAATTCCAAAGTCGTACGTTTTGAAAATTTTTGTGAATAAAGTAAATATTTCCAAGTGCCTTAAAATATAAACGGAAATATATGTAAGTATTGTATACAAATAACAACATTTGTTGTGGCAATAGTCATGACACAATAATAAACGTAGAATTAGTTGACGAAATTAATAAAAATGTTGCCTATTTACATATAAAAAACATATCCAACAAGTTGTTTTTTTATTATATGAAAAATGAACGGAAAATCAAGATTTTGTTCGCTTTTTTCTTTTCTTTTCAAATGCTGAAATGTTGAATTTTAATTACAACTGAATTTGAAAATATATTTATTTTTGTTTTGTATTTTTCCATGAGCTTACCTCTTGTTATTGTACCATGGCAGTAGTCATTCTTACTTACATGAATGGAAATCTAGTACATACAGTGGCGGCACACAAATTAGAAACAAACTTAAGAAAGTAGTTTGCATGCATTTTTTGTCGAGAAAAGACAGATTTTTATAATTTGTACATCAATTTGAAGGTATATTTTAGTACATCCTGTGCCAATTTTCATTTCCTATTCTTCTAACAAAATTGTTTTCTACGGGGATTTTAATGACAAGTGTGTCATTTTTACAAGGAAAAAATAATACATATAAACAAAAATTTATGTGCAAATTATAAAAATTCTCCTTTCCATTCCGATACAAAATTCATGCAAACTACTTTGACTGTACCTGCGTCTACATCTTCAGTAGTGTTGGCGAGTTATTTGGGATAACATTTGTAGTATGTTATTGAAAAATAGTCAGGCGTAATCCCAGTTGTTTTTTATAAAAACAACTATTTATTAGTGGGAAAAGGATGGAAAAGTGAAAAGCCATCTGTAGAGAAAAGGTTCTTTGGAATAACCTTGGTTCGAATTTTCGTCTGGAAAGGGTTTAGGAAACCCCTAACTGTTTATTGTTCTGATGCAATTAGGTGCAACAACTTCAACAAATTAAAAGAACATTTTTATGACGGCAAACAATCGCATTGAACAATGTCAAAGACACAACGAATAATGGGAAGAAACCTTCGATTAAATTAATTAGCAGTTTATTATTTCACAACATAATTGTGTGCCTTTTTATTTAATTTCGATTTGTTATTTCCCAAAGTGGTCAATTATTTTATAAATATGCTTCTTCTCCTTTATTTCGTCCTTCAGATCATGCACACGATAAATTTGAAAAAAAATATTGTTCTTTGATAATTTTTATTAGAGTTATTCACTGTTAAGCGGCTATGTGGTTTTTCTATAATTGTTAATGTTTTTTTTTTTTATGGAGAGACATATCCTCACATAAAATGTCTTTATTTCGGCCCCAAACTCGGCTTAAATATTCCTTATTGCCTTTATACCAAAGACATAGAAACTGTAAAGAATCGACAAAATACATTTTAACAAAATAGTTTATGAAAACATATCTAGGGGGAATCAAGCATAACAGAGGCATTTTAAGAATAAACACGCCAAACCGCGAAAATGTGTGTATAAAATTTAAATAAAATCTGATATCATAACAACAGAGGAAAAGCCATCTATTGAAAATTGTAGAAATCTATTGGAATTTTCGTTCTCGTTCACGTAGATCCTGAAACCTTCAATGATGGCGCCCGGTCCTAATATTCATGTCTTATGTGAGAGGATAAACGTCTTATGAGTTTCTTCTATCTGGGGAATATGAAAATATCCGCCATCAAATTCCCAGAACATTAAATATCGTATATCGTTGCGTGATCTTGCTTGGCGGGCATATTTAGAAAATCCATTGCCTGACAACTGTAGAACTTTCTGTAGGCATCGGAACGAAGCAAAGAGAGTAGTTCGTGAAGCTAAGTCAGTAGCTCATTGTAATATGTTTAATGGAAAATCAAGCAAAGAATTATGGACGTTATTGAATGTTTTTGGTTTAGGAAAAAATAGTGAGGTGGTTGAAGAAAATGTTAATGTTCTTAATAATATGTTTCCTCTGCGCAAGTACCAGCTTCGGGCGGTCTAACTGATTTCCTGGACGGTAGCTTTGGTTTTCGCTTAGTAACTTATCTTGAGATGAGTGATGCATTCTTTATTAAGTCTAAGGCTGTGGGATCTGATGGATACACCCTTAAATTTCTTCGTCTTATTTTTCTTTATGTTGCCGTCCATGTCTTGCATTTAATTAATAATATATTTTTGACATCTCCTACCCGTCTTTGTGGAAAATCGGAAAAGTAATACAAATTCGAAAGAACGGCACGTCAGGTGGATATATTTCCATAATTTAGCTATTTCCATAATGCTTATATTATCAAAGATGTTGTTGTTGTAACAGGTTGGCTGTTGACGAAAGTTCTTTCCTGAAAAATGTTGATAGAAGAAAACGGAAGGAAAAGGAAAATATATTAATTAATTAATTAGGAATTCGGATTTGAAGAGGGTAGCCGGAGAAATTGTGCCACCTCTATTGGCTTTAGCCATAAGTCTATGGGCAATAGACTCGTAGGCTCGGACGGACAATTGAATAAATGGTGTGTGTCGTGAGGGCTTTGCTGGCAGGAGGGACACCTGTTTAGGGTTCCGGGGACAATGCGCTCTCGATACGAGTTGAGTCCATTGCTGTATCCGGACCTTAGTTGTGCCAGAATTGAACGGGTTTGCCTATGAAGAAGCCTCTCACTCTCCGAAATTGCAGGAGGATGTTGTTGTAGGACTTTATTGCATCTGTTGCCATTTATGGCATCGGAGACCGCCAGTTGATGCACGGATTTCATCGCGTTCGCTATCGACAATCTGTTGACGTCCGATGGAATGACGTCTTGGATGTCATCACGATAGCGCCTGATGGCGGATGTGTCGCGGAGGTGGATCTGCCATCACAGTGTGATGGTTAGGATGACATGGCGGATAGCATGCCAGCAGGAACTGTCTAGTTAACAACACATTATGTTGCTTGACTGACAGCATCCTGGTCTCCCCATGGAGGTGATCGACGCTCGTCATCCGTGGGAAGTTTGCAATGATCTCCATTGTGTGTCGCTAAGGAAAGAAGTCCAGACTGGGGCTGCATAATTCAGGATGGAACGACCAATAGCCTTATAAGTCGTTACCAGCGTTTCTTTATCCTTGCCCCAGGAGGTGCCAGCCAAAGCTTTCAGAACTTTATTCCTAGCTTTCACCTTCTGCTTGATGTAATTGGAATGCGAGGAGAAATGAAGGAGGCTATCGAAGACCACCCCAAGGATTTTCGGATTATGGACGGTGGGGATGCGCCTACCTTCAACGGAAATGTCAAGTTCTAGATTGACTTCTCGCGTCCAGGAGGTGAAAAGTGACACGGTAGACTTTGCAGTGGATAATTTCAGATTGCGCTCCCGGAAGAAGTTGGTGATGGTGGCTAGATAGTTGGAAATTCTTGCACTTACGTCGTCAATGTTAACGCCGGACGAAATAATCGTACAGTCATCGGCGTACGACACCACTGAAACATCTGGTGGAGGAATGGGGAGTTTCGCAAAATACATGTTGAACAAAATGGGAGAAAGGACACCGCCTTGCGGTACTCCCATTTTGATCTTGCGATATTTGGATTTTTGGCCACGGAACTCAACGAAGGCCTGCCGCCCATTAAGGTAGTTGGCAAGCCAACGTTTGATATCACATGGAAGGGTGGAATTTGTGATATCGGAAATCAACTCGGAATGATCGACCGTATCAAACGCCTTGGACAGATCTAGAGCTGCCACAATGGTCCGTTCAGGTGGTCGTCGCTGATTGAGGCCATTCGCAATCATGGAAGTAATTTCTTGCAAAGCCGTTGTTGTGCTATATGATTCCCTGAAACCGTGTTGGTGGGGAGCAAGAACGAAATGCTGTTTCAGGGACGGAAGCAATAGAGACTCTAAAACCTTTGCTACTGGTGACAGAAGAGAAATCGGGCGGTAGGATTCCCCATTAGTAGCGGATTTATCAGGTTTTAGGATTGGAATAATCCGGGCAACTTTCCAAATGACAGGAATTACCAACTGTGACATCGATAACTCGAGGACTCTGGTCAGATAGCCCAGCCCTATTGCTTCAAGCTTCTTTAACATGAACATGGATATGCCGTCTGGACCAAGGGCTTTGGATGGTTTGGATTTGGAGATAATTGCCTCTACCTCGCTGGATGTAAATGATAGTGGCTGCAAGTCTCTTTTAAGATTCTTGGATCTCCGGAAAACTGCTCGCTTGGTCTTGTTCTGCGAAGATGGATGCTCAATGAATTGGCGGCAGAACTGAATTGCACATTTTTTGGCATCGGAATGTTGAATGTTATCGAAGGAAATAGCAGGGAGATTTTTATTTCTTTTGGAACCAGATAGACTCTTAATTGTGGACCATAGCTGCATGGAATTTATGTTGCAGTGGTTAAGGTGTTCTAACCATTTAGAGCGCCTGTGCTCAAGGACTAGAGCATCTATTTCAGCGCTAAGCTGCGGAATTCTGTCGTCAGCGGGGCTTTCAGCACGGAGTTGGTCGCGTTGCTGTGGGAATCTGGATGCCCTGGATGGATAATTTGGTCTCATTAGAGGAATTCTGCCCGCAGGAATAAAGCGTTTTGACGCTTTTTGAATAATTTCTCGGAAAATCTTCTCACCCTTTCTGGCACATACGGGTGGCGGCATAGGAATTAAGGAGTCCTCAATGAATTTTGTGAAGCCGTGCCAGTTGGCTTTATTATAATTCATGAAAGAACGCTGATCGGGCTCCACGAAATCGCTGGGTTTCTCTACCGTGACCAGGATGGGAATATGGTCTGAATTTGGATTGAAGAACCTTCGAATACTCAAAATCAAATGAATATCGTCGGCAAAAGCAAAGGGCCTAAAAGTGACCCCAACACAGATTCTTAAGGAGAGCTACACATAGCATGTGCTTCTTCTGTGACAAATAAGAGATAAGAAGCTTACACGCACAACTGGAAAAACCACATATATCCCTTTTTGACCACCTCCCCTGGGGAGAAGGTAAAAACGTGTATTCTAGCCAAAAAAGAACTTAATTTAATGCTTCAT